TCTTCAAAACTACTTGCTACATGGAAAAAGGACAAAGTGGGGGGAAGGAAGGGAGCAAAGATAAGGGAACAAGAAACGGAGATAAAAGAGTGGATGGTGGCTTCGGCTGGCGAATAACGCCTTTCTGGAAAGGGCTGTTGATCTGCAAACAGGTGGATTTGTCTGTATGCTTGGTTGGCATCATGGCACTGGGCACACAGGAGCTCAATGAATCACATTAGAAAGGGTGGCTACGAGAGCCAGGAGACTGTTACAACACTCACTGTTTATGTCAAGACCTGCTGGTCCCCAGGGACCCATTTTCACATCATCTATAATTATCTCTTTGCTTTAATCGCCTTGTCATTCCTGAGGCTCTCATGGGCACTGGAAGAGGAAAAGCTCATTAACTAAACCTTTTCTCCTCTCTCCAGCCACCCATGGCTTTTAATTGCTTGGTGTGTTATTATCTGGGAGTGCAACTGGGATCATTTTCATAAGAAAGGGAGGTAGAGAGCAGGAAGGGAGCCATGAGTCCCTGAGGTATGCACCACAGACAAACCTTTGCTTTCTCAATTATTTATGCCAGCTGAGGTTTTACAGGCTGAATAAATCCATAGCTCAAGTTCATTCTGAGCAGTCAGATCCTCACGAGAGAGTTGCCCATTTGCCTGTACACACTTGTGTATCCTCAAGAACAACCAGACTGTAACAAGACATATGTCATCTAATTTATCACCGATCACCAAAGTGTTAACACCGTGTTGATCACAGGCAAGAGTGAAATAGGAAAGGGCTATACCGACCAGCCAGACAGGCTCTTAGTGCTAAGAGCAGTGGTGTCTCATTATGACTTAGCCTGATGAAAGCAAAAGAATCCAAATACTCCATCCTTAAAACATAAAATATGTTTAATACAGGGTCTTTCAACAGAGGTGTTAAAACCAGGTTACTATACATAAGGCTTTGAATGAAATCCTAAGTAGAATTTTATACCATCAGATGTTACAAATAGCAATAAAACTACGTCACGCTGCTGCCTTTAATCCAATCATATATTGCTTTAAAAAAAATCACAGTAGTTTATTGGTATCAAGCTTTCTATGCTTTCATTCTACTTTCTATTTTGAGCAAGAAAACAAAGCATAAAGCATAAAGCTTTGGTTTTCATCCTAGTTTTTACCTACATTCTTCCTCTTTCTAATCAATACTGAAGAGCAACTAGCAACCAATGAAAAGTTATTTTTCAAAATGTTATTACTGCTTAAAAACTGAAACTTTGTAAGTCAACAATGAAAACATCTCTTTAAAATTCTACAAGCTTTTTTGTCTGACCACAGCAGTGACCTCTGGTATTTTCTGCCAAAACACTTCATTTGTCTCACAGAACAACTAATCAATTCCAGAGCCCATCAATCATTTCAGCTGTATACTAGACTGGTTTTGCTTAGAGAAGGTCCAGATGGCTGCCTGAGTAAGTGGAATTAAAATTCTAGCAGATTATAAGGTATCAAACTACAAAATATAACAGAGAAGATCAAACATTATTGCAGGATGGAGTGGGCATTACACCCTTCATTTATTCTACTTTCAATTCTTGCCCTAATTTCTCAATGTACATGTTGATGTCTAGAGCATACCTAAGCAGAAACTTGACAAAGCTTATGTATCAAAATATTCAAAAATAATCTACAAAGGCTGAGTGTGGTGGTGCATGCCTTTAATCCCAGCACTTGGGAGGCAGAGGCATGCAATTTCTGTGAGTTCAAGACCAACTTCGTCTACAGACTGAGCTCCAGGACAGCTATGGAGATGCAGAGAAACCTTGTCTTGAAAAAAACAAAACAAAAAATTCTGCAAAATACATTGTTTTCTGTCCTTTTTAAAAACCAATGATTACGCAAAAGACTTTTTCCTTTCTCCCAAGTCCCTTATTTGACATTTCTAATTTAATTTCTGCTTTCATATCTTAATTCTGCCAGGAATTTGTAATTAATGTAAGTTAAAGCACAAATTGGCTTAGAAAAGTAATAGTACCATTATGTTACCCAAATACCCATGACATAAACTTCAGAAAATAGCCTTTTTTCCTCATCGAACCACATTTTGATACATTCTGAAGAAATTCTAAGTGTGCACCTGGCACTTCACTGCAATAATCCAACATTTCAGTACAGGAAAAAAGGATTATGATTAAATTTATTATAAAGGAATTGTAACACTAGTAACTGAATTTTCCAAATGCAAGCATGACTAATTACTGGTTCCCACATCCACTGTAGTAGTAAAAGAATTACTACACTAGCAATAGCATAAGGGCTTTCAATACTCCTAGCATTCATGTTCTCTCTGTATGTATGCTGTGGCACACACACACACCACCTCCCACACATACAATAAATACACATATGACAGAATTAGAAATAGCATAAAAAGATTAATATTTAGATGACTCGGTGAACTAAGGCCAATTCTAACCAGGTTTACCTCTAGCAAAAGTTCACATTTTGCTCAATAATATTCATCATATATAGATGAAAATGCCAAAAGTACTAAGAAAATGCAAGTGTGGCACACACCTGTAATCCTAGCGCTCAGGAGATGGAGGCAAGAAAGTCAGGAGTTCAAGGTCATCCTCAGCTATATAGTGAGTTCAAGGCTGACCTGGACCAAATGAGACCCTGTCTTAAAGAAACAAACAAACAAACAAACAAACAAACAAAAACCTAACAAAACAACAACAAAGAAACAAAAGCATTCAGAGTGGTCAGGCATGGAGCCACACACCTTTAATCCCAGCACTTTGGAGGCAGAGGTGGGTGATCTCTGTGAGTTTAAGGCCAGCCCGGTCTATATAGTGAGTTTTAGGACAGCAGGTGCTTCATAATAATAGAGAAACTCTGTCTCAAAAAACAACAACAAAAGTACTAAGGACACACTATTCAAAAGTGAAGAAGCTGAAAGACAAATATCCACGTTTGTCTCACAGTAGTTGTGTAAAAATGTGTTGAAGTGAATAAAATCTCTACTTTGTACCCGGGCATGGTGGCGCACACCTTTGACCCCAGCACTCGGGAGGCAGAGGCAGGCAGATCACTGAGCTCTAGCCCAGCCTGGTCTACAAACCAGCCTGATGTTACTCAACTGACACACTTCAGGTGATTCTAGGGGGTGTCAAGTTGACAGCTAATGCTATCCAGGCCTCCCACTAAGTTCTGGGACTCTCTTCAGATAATAAGTAAACAAATAAAATGTGATCCTTGTCTTCAAAAACTAAAAACTAAGTTTTTAAAAAGTTATAATTCAGTGTGTGTATATAATGTGAAAAATGCTATAACAAAAGTATAAACACTGAACAAAGAAGAAATTAGTTACCTACTCTATCATCTAGAAAAATGCTCTAAGATGTCAAGGCTTGATGAGAACATTTATAACCTCTCTTGAAAAACAAAACAAAACAAAAAGTTCTAAAGACATTGGAAATTAAAAAAAACCCAAAACACTTCCTAAATTAAGGGAAGAGCTAAACTCTGAATGCACTTTCAAAACTATGAAGAGATGCTAGGAGCGCTTCGGGCCCTCACAGGAATTAGGGTAGCAAATGTACCCAGACCAGTGACAGCTCCTTAGGGCATCACCAATCTCCAGGAGCCTCCCCTGCCTCATCTCGGATAAAAATTTAATGTAAGTGTGGTGGTTTGAATAGGAATGGCCCCCAAAGACTCATGTGTTTGAATGCTTGGCCCATAGGGAGTGGCACTATTAGGAGGTGTGGTCTTGTTGGAGCATGTGTGGACTTCTTAGAGGAAGTGTGTCACTGTGGAGGTGGGCTTCGAAGTCTCATATCTGTTCAAGTCATACCCAGTCTGATAGTTCACTTCCTTTTGCCTGCGGATCAAGATGTGGAACTCTCAGATCCTTCTCCAGCACCATGTCTGCCTGCCACCATGTTTCTCACCATGATGATAATGGACTAAATCTCTGACCTGTAAGTTAGCCCCAATTAAACGCTTTCCTTTAGAAAGAGTTGTGTGGTTATGGTGTCTCTTCACAGCAGTAGAAACCTTAACTAAGACAGTAAGTAAAATGGTATGCTTGACATGCAAATGGATTCAGGACAGATCCCTAATGTTCACTGATAGCCTGGTCAACAGCTGCAAACTGTGACTCATAGAAGTATCAGCAACTTCCATCTTACACGGCTACCTGGTCGCACTGCTGGGTCTTTATGGGGGACAATATCAGCAAACTCTTTCTGGGAAATATAAAGCACACATCTTTGGTACAATCTCCTCTTGATTTGAGGATGACAGATGACTCACTTCAGCACATTTTGGGGAAGCCAAGTTTCCATTTGAAATATTTGATGTTAAACAGGAAGTAAGGCAATGTATGGGTAGCTAAAAAGGATCAAAAGCATTAAACACCCCCCCTTTTTATTTGTAAATTAATAATCTCAGAATTGTCCATGACTCCTTACAATAGCACAGGATTCTTTTCCTGATTTATACACAGTGATAAACAATAAGGACTAAAACATTTTTACACAGCACAAAAACTAGTAACTCTGTCAAGTAATATATTCATTAAACTTTTTAATTGTGTTTAAAAATAGTAAAAGCACTTGCTTTGCAGGCATGCCAACCTCAGTGTGGATCCCCAAAATCCAAGTAAAAGAATGACTGAGCCAGGTGTGGTGGCACACGCCTTTAATCCCAGCTCTTGGGAGGCAGAGGCAGGTGGATCTCTGTGACTCTGAGACCAGCCTAGTCTACCAAGTGAGTTCCAGGATAGTAAGGGCTACATAGAGAGAACCTGTTAAAAAAAAAAAAAAGAAAAAAGAAAAAAAGAAAAAAAGAACGAATGAAACAAAGGGAAGAAGAGGACAGGGAGAGAGAAAGAATGTTTCACAAATTCTTTATTTCCAAGTTAAAATACATATATACTTATGTGCACACCTAACACATATGTATGCATGTATGTATGCATATTTCTATTGTCAAAGACAGAAGAGAAATTACCTGATTGTTTCTTCATGATATAGAGAACTAACAACTGGCCCACCAAAACCACTGTTGGCTTCTTTTCCTTTCTTCTCCGATACCTGTGGAACAAAAGGAGAAGATGGAAAAAGACATATATGGACTAAAGCAATATGTATTTAAAAATTATAAAATATTACTTTGTTAAGAAACACTAAAATTTTACTCTCAACCAATTCTTCAATGCTAGTAATAACTGTAAGGTGATTAATAAAATCAAACTCATGGCAATCCTCCTGCCTCAGCTTCTTGAGTACTGGGATTACAGCTGCCATATCAGTCTGAGAATGCTTTCCTTCATAAAGTACAAAGTAAGAACTTACTTTAGTTAATCCTCTTATAGTTTAAATTTGGCCCCACTGGAAGGATGAAGTTGGAACCTACATGTGCTCAAGAAACGCAAACTAGGAGTTGGAGAGCTGTCTCAGGAGTGAAGAGCGTCTGGTGCTCTTCCAGAGGCCACGGTTTAGCTCCCAGCACCCACTGGTGGCTCACATCGGCCACAACTCTCGTTCTAGGGCATCCAACATCTTCTTCTGGCCCCTGCAGGCACCGGGCACACACGTGGTGCCAGACATGCCAGCAACACACCTATACTGTAAACTTAATGAAAGAAATGCCAACTTAATGAAGCTGAAAACAGACTACTGAAGAGAGGAAGAGGAGGGAGGGAGGGAGGGTGAGAGAACCAACCCAATCCTGAGTCTCTTAGAAAGAAACCGTTCCTAGAGGTAATACAATTGTAATCCCAGATAACCTTTGGGTTGACAGTGATTTTTTTTTAAAGATATAAAACCAAAAGTATGATTCATAAAGAAAAAAGTTAGTGGTCTTTATTAAGGTTTAAAAACTTGTACTTTGTGAAACACACTGGTCAGACAACGAAGCTTCAAACAAGAAAATCTTGTAAAACATCTATCAATAAAGCCCATTATCTAAATATTCAAATAATTATTAAAAGCTAATAATAAATAATAAAGCAAATGATGATAAAGATTTAAACAGACAGCGTTACTATAATGTCCCATGCCAGTGGTGCTGTTTTGGGAGGCTGGGCAACCTTAGGAGGCAGCCCTAGCTGGTGGGGTGGGCCATGGGACAGGCCTTTGGGGATGGCTTCTGTCCTGCATGGTCTGTCTGCAGTGTGTGCGTGGAGCTCCTTCACCCCCTCCCCAACACACCCAGCTGCTCCTGTGCCTGCCTCACCGGCTGAACCCACGGCCCATAAACCTCTGCTCTCGGGTGGCATCTGCAGGGCACTTTGTCTTCACAGGACGAGAAGGGTAACTAATGCACTGTGCCTGAGAAAATACTCAAGTGGCAACTCAAGAAACGAAAAGACGCCTAGAGCCAAGAAAACCGGAGGCCCACGCCTGTTAGAATGGCCGGAGTTCAGCAAGTTCTCCAGTGGAGGAAGGATTAAAGCGGTTCACCTTTTGATAGTTTCATACATAAGATCAAATCACCTCTGAATACAGACAGTTTTACTTCTGCTGTTCCAATTTGTAGAGGGAATTGAAAACCTCAATAACCCAACTAGAAAACTCAGGAAAAAGCCTTCCAAGGAGAACAGGTTAACCGGAAGATAGAATATCCGGTCTCAAAGACAAAGGAGAGGAATGAGACCACACAAACAATGAACGTGACCATTTCCAGAACATTCACTTTTACTTTTGACGGTCATGCCAGCTGTACTGGCCATGCTGCCTCCTTCCCTTCTGGAAGAAGCTGGAGGTCTCCTCTCCACCTTTGGTTCTCTGTACCATGTTTTCAGTCTGGCTGCTTACAAGATTTTTCTCTGGTTTTCAAATTTTTGATGATGATGTCTGTTGGTACAATTTTGTTAATCTTCTTCTGCATGGTGCTCACTGAGCTTCTAGACGGGCGGCCTTGCGGAGGTGATTTTTCATCAAGAGGTGATTGTTTTCTCCCTACACAGCAATGCCACTGACACCTAACAGAGACCAGAGCTGATGAACAGGACAGCACTCACAACAATGTTTTCTGGCCCCAAATACCAATGGTTAAAGGTTGAAAGTCTGATTTGCAGTTTTCAGCAAATGTTGAGAATTTCAGCTATTTATGTACATTTTTTCCTGTCTTCTCTCTCTCTTTCTTATGCTCTCTGCTTCATTCGTCACATCTTCCAGTCCACTTGTCTTTCCTTACGCCACATCTAATATGCTGTTGATCCTATAGAGTGTATCTTTCACTGTAGATCTACACTTTACCATCCTTTATGTGGTCTTTACGTGGCCTCATGTCACTCTACATGATGCTCATGTTTTCCTCTACTCTGAAAATTTATTTATATATAACATTTAACAACATGTAATAACATAATTTAATAATACATTTACAAGCCAGGCGGTGGTGGTGCACGCCTTTAATCCCAGCACTCAGGAGGCAGAGCCAGGGGGATCTCTGTGAGTTTGAGGCCAGCCTGGTCTACAGAGTGAGTTCCAGGACAGGCACCAAAACTACACGGAGAAACCCTGTCTTGAAAAACCAAAAAAATAAGGAGTTGCTGTGGTCATGGTGTCTCTTCACAGCAATAAAACCCTAACTAAGACACTATCATTTCTGCATCCACTTTTATTATCCTTTTATTCTCCTGGCTATTTTCTCTATTTTTTTCTTGCTTGCTTAAAAGTCTTCTACTGTAAGCTGCACAATGTAAACTTTACATTTCTGTTTGCTGGATCTTGTTACACTACTTTCCTTAGGTTGGGCTCGGTTTTGGCACAAGTTAATAAAGCTGACCAAAATCATTCTGACCCTTCTGAGACTCACTTGTAAGCACACTAGTGAGCAACAAAATATTCTCAGGACTATGTCAGCTCCAGGAAAATGGCTACCTTTTCTAGTGTACCTTTTCCTGGACTGTCACACATGCACAGGTTAGTGTTCAGCCAGAGGGTTCCATCTGCAGATCTTTGGAACTCTAGGCAGGAATGTCCTCTCAAAACAGGAACGCCCTTTCAAACTCGAGCTCAAATCCTGAGTCTGCTCAGACAGTTTTGGCTTTGTCCTCCCCTCACAACAGCTCAGACTCTGCTTCCAGGAAAGAAAGCCAAGCATGTGCATGGTTTTTACCTTGCTGCTTCTTTTCATATGGAGGAGCAAAGGTCCCACAAACAATCCTAAACCCAATGTAAAAGTCTATGCAGTAATGAAACATACTTAGCCAACATCCAACAGTTGTATACTTAGGCTGTTTATAGTTTCTTACTCACAATGATATAATGAAAATCTGTGTGCACAATTAATATAGTTTAACTAAAATCTTTAGGAAAAGAAATAAACACCATAATTAGATGTGGTTTATTCCAAATATATTCCTTATCCCTAGCACTGTTCTTTCTAAAGCAAATGGACAAATACATATTATGGCTCTGCAACAACTTCAGGAGAACAAAAAAAACTGTATCTTAGACACATAATAATGAAAATAATTTGCCATTATCAGACTGAATCACAACAAGGCTGCCCAAAATGCATTCGTTATCTGTTCCGCTCATTTCATCTACCAAAGGGGTAACATTCTGGCCTCTTGATTTCCACTTTGGTGAAAAGTCTCTCATAAACGCTTAGAGGTCGGAGTTGGTGGGACGGCTCAGGGGGTAAAGGTGCTTGCCGCCAAGACTGACAACAGAGTCTCACCCCACAACCTACATGGTGGGAGAGGAGAACAGGCTCCTGCCAGCTGTTCCGACTTCCAAAGGAGCACTGTAGCATGAGTGCCCCCCCAAATAAATAAATGTAATTAAATCTTTAAAAGCTCAGAGGTGTATCCCATTTTCCTCTACTGAAAATCCATGAAGTTATTTTTGTTGCATCAGCAGCTAAGGGAAGAGTCTTCAACTTGGCAGTGACTATGACAAAAATCTGCCAGTCCTTGTAGCACCTCAGGTATACTATGTAAGATATCAAAATGTTCCTTCAAGCAGCTAGCTGAACCTTATCACTTGATCTGTGCTCTAGCATAGTTTCAGGGTGAAGTGAGAAACACTCTTTTCTATTTGAAAAATACTTATTCCAAAAATTAGCACACTAATACGCATGAGGTGGCTTCTTATTTCCATGTGGTACCTTTTTCGGACTCTTTCCTATTGGTGTTTAACTTGTTTACAGCTTGAACTATAGGATTTTGTGCAATGAACTAACTACTCTGTCTTACTTTCCTCATCTGTAAAGCTGGGACTATTTACCTACCTCACGTGATCATTTTCAGGATTTAAGATAGGTCTATTTCGATAGAACAGCTCCCAGCATGAAAAAGGGCAGCATCAGTCAGCTGATGTAGTTAAACTATAGCCAAGATACAGCCACTGCTGCAAAGCAGGTGCCTCAGAAACACAGGTGCAGATGTTTGGATGTGGAGGAAAAGGATCCAATCAGGAGTCGGTACCTGACGGCTCTAAACTCCCGAGTCTTCTAACATATTATCAGCAAGCCTCTCAAAAACCACACAATCAGCACATTCTACCAGTAGATAGAGGAGGAATAATGCCAACTTTATGCAAACTCTTCCGCAAAATGGAGAGCAAGAAAAGGAAGACAAGTATCTGTTAAGCATCGTCCATAAATTCACATTACCCCAGTTCAACTTCAGAACAAGCCTACAGAGCTGGCGCTGGCTCTGTCTCGCATTTAACACAGGCAGCAATTATGAGAAGTACCATTATTTTCTACAATGCTAAGAAAGAAAACCCAGTCAATAACTGTGATCTACCACCAATTTAAGACACAGTCGGATTTCAGAAACGTTAGAAAGTTGAATCAATGTCTGTCTTAGATTTGATGAAATCCACCAGGTTTGACAGACTGGAAACCTGAAGAGAGGTAAAGTAGGCAACGTGGCATAGTAAGTGGAATAGTTGCTTTCAACCCAAGAACTCTGACAGCCAAGGCTTGTGCCGTTTCTATGAAAGCCTATGTTCTTCTCCAAGCTTTTCTGCAAACCATTATGATACAGTGACAATAATACCAGGAAAAAGGTGCACTGTCTTGGGCTGAAGGTATAATTTAGTTAGTAGAGTGCTTGCCTGGCGTGCATGAA